CTATCACTGGTTAAGCAATATATATTCTTATTTTAATTTGTAATAGGTAAGATTAAATTATTTAGTTTAATGTAAGTACCAGTGAAATAAATATCTCAGTCAGATGAATGTATCATGCATTAGATGACTGATTAATGACGGATTACATCCCACATTACGGTAAAAGTTTTTATAACCTTAAAGAACTGAAGTTTTTGGTAAGCATATAACATATTTGTCTCCATCATACAAATAGTGGCTAGTTTGTTTATACACAAGCTAAATTAATGGTGGACAATAATAGTTTAGGCCATATAATGCGAAGAATTAATAAAGGGTTTGATACCAATAATAATATATTTTGTAGGCCATATGCCCAAAAATAGTGGATGTGTAACAACCCAATCCACTAGTGATATTTCCGCTTTGGGCCTAGGCACGGCTTTAAAACACGTCACTAGAGTCTAAGAATTGTTTACGTATATATACACCCAGTATCTCTCCCGTGTTTTGTCGATGTAAGATTTGCCTAGGGTATCACATGCATCCCCTAAAGGACTGTGGGTCCTTACTGAGGTTTTCCCCAGCATCATTCAAGGTTGCACACGGAGTGGCCTTGATACCATATGTAATAGCTCAATCCACTAGTGATATTATCTGCTTTGGGCCTATACCCGCACGGCTTTAAAGCACGTTACTAGAATTTAAGGCTTGTTTACTTATATATCCAGCATCTCTCCCGTGTTTAGTCGGTGTGGGATTCCCTGGTGCGTTACAAGATAGGGACTCAAAAAAGAAACCAAAGCAAAAGAAAGAAAAACTTAGAGTCGAAGCAACCATAGTACGTAACACTTAGAAGAAGATCCTATATAACACCCTCTAATGCTAAATAAGAGTATCCGCAACTTTATTACAAAGCTGGAAATTTTATCCATCACACTACTCTCTCACAACTTCCCAACCTTATCTAACTATTGCTCCATCAATGAAAATGACAATTAGTTTTTTTCCAGCTTGTTTCATAATCATGTTATGTGCTTTAGCCTTCATTAGCATGGCATCTGAAGATTCTCATGTATCAAGAAACATAGATAAAGATAGCAAATTTAATATGAATACAGGTGAGAACAAGTTTGAAATAAATACTAAGCATTTCTTTGTTGATGTAAGAAAGGCGCAGAAAGGAAAGGGACCATATGGGGGTGCAAGCATACTTCGTCAACCACGTCCTTATAAAAATTCAGCAATATCACTGAAGCAGTCCTCCATTTTCACATCAACAACTGATGTCATTTTCAGATTGTATTTTTTTCTCCTTGTCTTACCCTTTGTTATTCCATGAAAAGTTTCGCAGTCAACCAAATCTTTACTTTCTTCGTGAGTTATCTTGGATGCAGTACTTGTGGCTTTCTGAGTTAATAAGGATTTCTTGGTCTGTTTTACTAGGAGGGGATCCTTGGGGTAACTGGTAAAGTTGTTGCCATATGACCAAGAGGTCAGGGGTTCGAGCCGTGGAAACAGCCTCTTGCAGAAATGCAGGGTAAGGCTGTCTACAATAGACCCTTGTGGTTCGGCTCAGACTCCGTGCATAGCGGGAATTTAGTATACCGGGCTACCTTGGTCTGTTTCACTAGTATTTTGTATGTATATATATATATATATATATTTATGAATGAAAAGACTCGTACAAAGATATTATTTATGTTCCTAACAATTATTGTATCTATTTATATTAAACCATGTTGTATCCCAATTTGTCGCATTGCAAGCAGGCGGGAGCAAAAGATAAACTGATCAGAGCTCCAGATTCGTGAGTCTCTAAGCAGACTGATAGTATTAGAGTGTAAAATAGATGTTCAAAATTACTCCTGTACTAATAAGTAATAAGCACTCCAACTTGTATAAAGTTGAACCCGTAAACAGGCACTCAATCTTGTAGGAGTTCTATACATCTGCCCTTTCTCAACGCATTTCTTTAGACAAAGGCTCCGTTTTTTCCTCTTTTCGAGCGTGTGTTTACGGGTTCAACTTTATACAAGTTGAAGTGTCTATATGTGCATTCCAAAGTTAGAGTGCTTACTTGCCAGCCTGAGACCAAGTTTGAGTGTTTGTTTATGTATTTGACCAAAGATAAATAAGTTAAAACTATCCTCATTTATTCAGTAGTACAACATTTAAGTGCAGAGCAGTAAGCAATGTACTCAATACCATGTTGCATAGACAATTATTGTAGGCAGTAGCACTAAGGGTTAGCCTCTGGCGCTCAAGTGGCAAACTTAGCTTTAATATATTAAGTGGAAATAGTAGCAAATAAGGCATCAGCAGAAGCTGAACAAGTAGTTTAGGCTATGAAGACATCATTTTTATCCCAGTGTTAAGTAGGAAATAATTAAAGGATTAAAGCTGCATAGAATATCAGAAGACTTAAGAACCCCTCTACTATACCGTCAGTGTATATAACTTAAATCTGCTCTAGCTGTGGGCATTTCGGAAAATATTAGCTAAACACTTCCAAGAATACGAGGGTATCATGTCCGCTTGAATTGGTAAACAATTTATTAATTAATTGTGGCACACCTAAGACTCTTCCTTAGAAGATAATGAAAGCATCATATTCGCTTGAATTAATGAACAATTACTTATAAAAATCATGGAATTTTTCCTTTTATTCTCACTCTAAATATTAAAATAGATATGCATGTCTCCCTCCTCCAACAATCAAAGTATTTGTCAATGTTAGTCATTTCAGCTATCTGAAGCTGTAAAGCAGAAAATATTCCATCACTTTTGTTAGAAACTAGTAAAATAACCAAAAGGATAAAGGATTCTTAAGTAAACAACCTTAAAATATAGAACCCCAAAACACCTACTAAAACATTTAAAGGAGGATTCCAAATGTTTTGAGCCGGTAGGCCTATGCTCTTTTGCACAAAGATAATACCTTGGGGTCGTTTGGTACGATAGATAAGCAAAAATAATTCTGGGATAAGAATTTGGTATTGCCTTATCCCTTGTTTGGTTACTAATTCTGGGATACAGTTATCCCAGGATTAAAAAATAATATGGGGATAACTTGTACTTGCCAGATGGTGGAATAGTAATCACAGGATAAGTTATCTCACGATAAAGCGGTAAAATTGACAATCTCAGGATTAATGCAACATATCAAACAGTCAACAACAACAACCCATGGGGTCTGTCTGGGGAGGGTAGAGTGTACGCAGACCTACTCCTGCCTTTAAGAAGGCAAAGAGGCTGTTTTAGGAAGACCCTCGGCTCAGGGAGGGAAAAAGGGAGGGGCAATAACAAACAAACCAATCTGACAACCAAAGCGAAAATGAAAAACTAGCAATAGGTAATGCAATCAGAAAACTGAAACAGAGACAACGACAAGTAGTAACAGAAGTCTAGGGATACGAAAAACACCAAGTGGTGTATCAAAGCTACTGCTACAAATAAGGACAACACTCGGCTACCGAACCCTTAACCTTTATTCTCAACCTCCACCCTTTCCTATCCATGGTCATGTCCTCAGTAAGCTGGAGCAACGTCATATCATGCCTAATCACCTCTCTTCAATACTTCCTCGGCCTACCTCTACCTCTCCATTGGCCCTCCAAAGCCAGTCTCTCACACCTCCTTACCGGAGCATCAGTGCTTCTCCTCTTTACATGTCCGAACCATCTAAGTCTCGCCTCCCGCATCTTGTCCTCCATAGGGGTCACACTCACCTTGTCCCGGATAACTTCATTTCTCAATAAGAATAAATACCAGAATAACTAATCCCAATATAACTAATTTCAGTACAACTAATTCCAGTATAACTGCGGTCTTCAAGCCAAACGACCCCTAAGAGTCTGGCTACAAAAGGTGAGGAAAATTAGGAGTCACTATCCTAGTACAAGGAAGAAAGGATCATGCGCTGGAAGTAGAAGATTTTATATAACAGCCTTTGATGCTAATCAAGAGTAGCCACAGCTTTATGCTCTAATTTGAAAAGTTTGTTCATAAATACTTCCTCACCACTTCTCAACCTTTGCTGTATCCTTCTTCTCCTTTTGCAACTATCCACTTAGAAAGGAAAAGATCACACAAACCATAGAAAGTCATTTAGCTCCATCCAAATGAAAATAACAATTGGTTTCCTGATCCTGTTAAGTGCTGTAGGCTTAACAAGCTTGGCATCTGATACTTCATATGCATCAAAAAACAAAGGCATACACGTCGTAAAACATGTATCTGAAGTTCACGATAGAAACAGCGAGAGTAAAGTCGGAGATAGAAGAGGTAAATTCAATTTGTATACATAATACATGTTATACAATGAGTTTTGTGTTAAAAACTAAGCTTTCAACAGCTAATGTAGGGGAGGGACAAAAAGGAAGGGGACCAAACGGGGGTGCAAACAATTTTCATCATCCAAATCCTTATAAAAGTTCAGCTCTACCCCTGAAGCAGTCCTCTATCTTCACATCAACTACTGGTTCCATTTTCAGATCGTCTCTTCTCCTTGTTTTGCTCTTTGTCATTTAATGAAAATTCCACAGCATCTCGAGTCTTTCCTTCCTTTTGTGAGTTATCTTAACTTTTTTTCCTTACTTTATGTTTGTAAATTTTGAATTTCTATAAGTGAACAATCTTACTTAACAAGTTTTCTAAGATTATTGATGCATTATTTGTTGATATTGCTTACTTCTATTGTTTTGTTTCATCTTTCTTGAGTAGAGGGTCTATCATAAACAGCCTCTCTACCTCCCCAGGGTAGGGGTAAGGTCTGCATACACACTATCCTCCCCCAGACCCCACGTGTGGGACTCCACTGGTTTTGTTGTTGTTGTTGTAGTTAGTTTCAGTAAATCCATCCCATGCTCTAGTTTTAAATATATTTGCCACAGGGTGCTTGAGCTAAAAGCACTAGCAGTTGAGCTTTGAGAATTTAATCTAGGCCACAGCCCACATAAGCAGAAATAGAACTGATGTTCGTTTTAAACATAAGTACATATGCTCCTTTGAGGAAAAGGGAGAAAAAGAGATTTTAGAAAATTAACCTCTAATGAAAAGGAAGGAAAAGTCTGTCTTACATTTCTGGCATTATTACCCCAATATAAGCAGCACAAACATTCTCAAGAGATTCATTTCTTTCAAATGTCATACAAATATTTCTCGAAAAGTTTCATATGGTCTGCTTGCAGCGAGATAGCAACCGATAGACTCCCATCATTGGTAGGACTTGGCAATATAAAGCTTAACCCTTCATAAGCAATCCAGGTCCCATAAATATCGGTCTACCCCAGCCAAAATCTGCATCGTGTATAGGCAGCCTAACCCAACTAGTGATCCCAAGATTTGGGCATCTAAAAGTATGTGCTCCGCGAACAAGAGCCTTTAGGTCGGGCTGTAATTCCAAGTAATCGAGGGCTGATCTTAAGTAGTCGTTGTCCATCCGAGCCAATGCATCATGAATTTTACTTGCAGCATACCAAATCGGCTTGGATTTTAGATCACCAGCCACTGCAATTGGAGTAGCAGTAAATATCACATTACCAAAGTAGCCTGGTGGAAGAGTAGGCCTGAGCCTAGAACGTCCATCGGTTGCTATATACAACTTGCTTCCTTGATCTTCTTCAAGTCCTCGTGCCATACAAGTAGAGCGCCATACATGTCCTGCTAACATTTCATAGGAGCTGTAGTTTACGGTATTTCCATCTTCCTTAGACTTGGCTTTCAAGGCATTGATTTGATCACGGGTTAACTTGAAGATGGAAACAGCAGTCTCAGGAACTGCTTCAGTTTTGGCAATGTTCTTGAAAGTTGGAGGTGGCTGGTATTCAACGTGTGGGAACTGAGGCAAGGGTGGATCACGAGCACGGAGAAGTGTTCGGTCTATGAAAGGTGGAATTGTGAGGTCCAAACCACGAGCCATGTCCGACCATGTGTTGATGAAGTGAAGACCAGAAAAACCATCAGCAGCATGATGTTGCATTCCTACACCGAGAGAAACTCCTCCACATTTGAAATGAGTGATCTGCTCAACAGTTGAAGTGAGAATTATGGTGAGCACAAGCAGAGCACATCGAAATCGTGCAATATCAGTTATGAGCTAGAAAAAGCATTCAAGTCAAAAGATTGAGGGGGAAACTATAAGAAATAGACCTTCCACGAACCACCTGAATAGATTGGAATGGATATAGAGAATTCATATAGTAACTAACTTTACCTTATTGGGAATGAGGTATAATAATTTGATCAATTCAATCAAGGGGTATTTGGTTCTTAGGCGTGCTTATATTTTTATCAGGACTGGAGCGGGCTATTAATACTGACAATATATTATAGGTAAGACGGCATACAATAGAACATTGTGGTCCGGCCCCTCCCCCGACCCCGCACATAGCGGAAGTCTAGTGCACTGGGGCTGCCCAATTATGAGAAATTTTATAGCAGTAATCTTCAAAGAAAGTAAGAAGGGCTGGAATAAAAGTTACTATTATTAATATTGTATAAATGACAAAAATTTCATTTCCTTAAATATATGAAGTTATTCATAATTGTGATCTAAAAACTATTTGTACGAGGAATAACTATTACCAACCAGAAGTTGGCATAAAGAAACAAAGAGAAACCTCAAAAAATTAAGCAATAACTCAACCACTTTTATTCCAAGGTAAATGCTGCCTATCTTCTGTATATGTTTAATGATGTCAACTAAGTAATACTCCCTCCGGTTCACAATAAGTGTCCAATTTGCTTTTAGCACGCCCATTAAGAAAATACTAAATTCCATACAAAAATACCTACTATGACTAAACTACCCCTAATTAAACATTTAATATGAGGAGTAAGAAACTTTTTAGGGATATGCACATAGGGGTTATTTTGTAAAAACAAATTGAAATCTTTCTTGATTACATAACTGTACACTTATTTTGAACCAAAATGAAAAAGCAAATAGGACACTTATTGTGAACCGGAGGGAGTAAAGAACAAAGAGTTGAATCTCTTTATACTGCTCGAGTTATAGTAGTAGTAAACTAGTAATAAGGCAGGACCACTAATGGTTTCCCAAAACATAAGGAAACTTTACTCATTAATTCGCCATCAATACCCTCTCTCTCTTATTTTATAAAACAAAGCTCAACAGAAATGCACTGCGTACAATAGATCCTAGTGGTCGGTCCTTCCCCGAACCCCGGGCATAGCGGGAGCTTAGTGCACCGGGATGCCCTCAAAGCTCTACAAAATTAATTTGATTTCTGCATCATAAATGATGCAATAATTTACTGGATAGGCTAGCAGTTGAAAAAAATAAAAATAAAAATACAAATGAATTTTAGTAATAGATTACGAGATTGCGACATGCTTCCACAGCAAGTTTTGAATGTTATGACTATTCTTTTTTTAAGAAAAGCGTGCAGCCTGGATTTTCTGCAAACATTATAAACAAAAGGGAAACAGGATATTTGGCAAATCTTCTATTATACGCGTGGTTTTATGCGTTTAATAACCTTTTACCCAATTCATTATTTTAGTAAATTTTCTCGTGTGGAACATAACTATGTTGTAGCCTTGTGAAAACGTAAAAGATAAACGATATATTACAACCGAACAAACTAATAATTTTTGGATTTAAATTATTTACGCTAGCATTATAAAAGAATCACAATTTTAGTAGAATTTTAACCTATAGAAGGTTATTTACTGCCTTTTTTATGTTAATACTAAAGGAATATTATTTATTCTAGGAAATCGAAGTGAATTATTACAGTATGCTTTTGTAAAGTCAAACGATTTATCTCAAGAACTACAAATCATGCTTAAATGAAATTTCTATACACGACGTATATCTCGTATATTTAACTTGTTGTAGACAGTGGGTGAGCGTAATTTTACATTTTTGGTAACCAATGATGGTTTAAAAACCTGTACATTACCAATGCAGAACTAAAAACCTTCTTTTTAATGGTCACAATATTTGATTTTTTCTGATATGAATTAACTTCTTTTTTCAAAGTTGTCCTTCGAGTCAGAGGCAGATTCAGAATTTATACTTTATGGGTTCATCTTTTAAGATTTTTATCATAAACCCATTATATTTTTAAAATTATGGGTTCATATCTACTATTTTTGCGATTTTAATAAATTTTTACATATAAATTTTACTCTGTGTCGAAAGTTATGGGTTCATATCTACTATTTTTGTAATTTTAATAAATTTTTACTTTGAGTCAAAAGTTATGTGTTCAATTGAACCCCTCATTAATACACTAGATACGCCCATGCTTGGAGTAAAGAGTCTGGGAGTGTTTGTTATATTTTCAATAAACAAATAAAGGTTAATATGGTCAATTTTATTATTAATTAATGTTAAAGGTAAACTTATTACTAACATATATATATATATATATATATATATATATATATATATATATATATATATATATGAAAACAGCAAAAAAAATTCAATTAAAATGGACAGGATAAAGTGCTTTCTTTTTGTCAATAAATATACATCGTACCAAAACCATACCTGCAAAACTAGGAGAGCATAAGAATGGATTCCCTGAGAATAATCAACGGCAGGAATAAGACGCCGGAGCTCCAAAGTAGGCGCAAAATCACCAAAATCATCAACCATTCCGTCACTCTCTGCTTCAACAAACAAAACCCCTTGTCCTCTGCATTCAATTTCAATACGCCAATCTTCATCCCTTTTTAATCTTCCAGCCATTGGATAAAACGGCACTAACGCTCTACTCAACGCCTCCTTAAGCACATTCGAATCAAAGAAATTTGAAGCACTTGATAATGGCCTGTAGAAATATACACTTGGGGTGTGGAAATTTGGGACAACTAAATCCACGTTTGAGTTCCATAGGTTTGTCTGTGGTGTGTCTGCTGCTGGTTTCACCATTGTTGATTCTTTCACCTCGACTTTCATCATTCTTGTTTTCTGCTTAAAATTTTAAGACAAAGCAGAATAGTTACTATAAAGAATACTTATATATAAGAGCTTAGAAGTCTATTTGGGAATTTTATTTTAAAGGTGTTTGGTTCTTTGAATGTGATCAACTACACCTATTTTCCAAATTGAACAAAATGTTTAAACTACAAACAACAACAACAAACTCCGTATAATGGTGTTTGGGAAGGATAGTGTACACAACCGTCAGAAACCAATAACTTTTACATAAACATTGTATTTCTATTAACATTACACTAAATATTTATAAATATCTAATTATGAACCCATATGTTATTATATATTAATTTGAGATTACAGTAGGAACCCAAAAATTTTAAAAAATAGATCCACCTCCAGCAGACGTTACCGCTGCTATGAGGGTAGAGAGGTTGTTTCTGATAAAAATCAGACGCAAGAAAAAGAAGAAAAAAAAACAGTAACAACCAGCAATAATGACAGCAAGATAATAAGAAAATATATACTAATAAAGATTACCAATAACAGAATACAAGGCTGACTACTAATACTACTGGTAGGAGGATGAAAAAAATGTTTAAAATAAGTATTTATTTATGTTGTTAGAGTTCTTGACTTTATAAGAGGAAAAAAGAGTGTACTTGTAAACTACTACGTTTGATGAAAGAGGCTTAATTAATTAGGGAAGGGGACATAGTGAAGAAATTATCTGTGAGAATAAAAAAGTGGGTAGGAAAAGAGAGGAGGTAGGGGAGAGGAGGTAGTGATTAGAAAAGTTTCTTAAATTTTGTGGGGAGTTAGGAAAATGGAGACTTCACCTACCCCACGCCGTTGAAGATGACAACTAGTCTATTAGACTGGTCCCACTTTCCTAATCATGGTTGTTTTAGAGAGCAAAGAAATTAAACATAACATGATTAGAGGTTTTAAATCCTAGTCGCGAAAATTAAAAATTTATAAAAAAAAATATTTTACTTTTTCTTTTTTTAATCTTTTGGGAAATTTTCGGACCTAGCGAGAAGGCTCTAAACCTTCACGCAAATAAGCGCGAGAAAAGCGGAGTACAAAGCTACCGCTTCCCCCAATCAACTAAAATATAAAAGTAGCGACCTACTTTGATTCAAGAGAAAGGTGAAGGATTTGGCCACTAGCAAAAGCTTTCTATCATAATTGTAAACATTCCAAACCTTAACTACTTAAGTACCAAAGGTTGCTTACTGTTGGTTTCATAATGGGGCTGTTCATATAAGTTATCAGCGCTCGGCGTTGTCCTAGATCAAACGTGTGGGCCTATTTAGTGTGAATTTGGATTAATCGAGCTAGTATGTCTTTAGATAGTAAAACTAAAAAAGAGACGATAATATCATTCACAAACCAAGTTTCACTCTCTCTGCTTTCATATAACAAAGTTTGATTAAGCACAAATTTTCAAAAGAAAATTAAGTTTTAATATAGTACGAGTTAAAAAAATATGTTCAACGTATCTAAAATCACAATTTTATACTAGTAGTTTTAATATATTACTATATCATTTCTATTTTTTTAAAAGTCATTAACAGTAAAATAAAGTATCAGAATTAACAAGTTATCAAATCTAAAAATATGCCAACTCTGTATAACCAACGAACTGTAGAATGAATATAATATATAATCAAAATCATCTACCCAACTATGAGAATTACGTCTTAAACGAGTTATCATTTATCTTTAAAAAACTAATTGTTTTCCCAAATATTAGTTTAAAAATAGCCATAGGTGTTTTGTACGGTCATGATCCGCAATGTGATAAGGATCTAAACATATATGGTCTAGTTAAGTTTGACAAGTTAAATCATGAATAAAAATTTTAAAAAAAATTACGAAGATATTCTAACCAAAAGAAAGTATGAAGATATCCGGTTTAGATCCCAGTTAGAGGTAATTTAATGCACGAAGTATTTCATATTTATATAAAATGGGAGGAATGATCACACTCAAAAGAATATAAAGTAAGCAGTCTATCTTGATGCAAAATAAAAACAATAATAACAATATTGTCAATGTATTCCTACAAGTAAGGTGTGAGGAGAATAGTGTTTACGCAAAACTTCTCTTATACGTGCAGGTAAAGAGATTGTTTCTAAAAATTCCTCGGCTTAACATCAGATACTCGTGACTTTTAAATTATACGAAAATTATTTTATCCTTAATATAAGATGATCCATAAAGATGGCCAAAAAACATAGGGGTTTATTATATGCAAAAGTATATCTTGGGAGGTATGAGTGAATTGGTACTTGGGATAAAGGGAAAGGAGTTCACCTACCGCGCTCGCGTGCTGTTGAAGACTACGACTATTAAGTGTTGGGTTTTTTTTATGTATTTAATTAATATATTAAATACTTAAAAGAGAGTGAATGGGAAATGGAGGGAAATGAAATTTTGAGTGAAATTTTAACTTTTCCCCCTTTGGCAAATGGACATTGTCCCATATTGGAAGAGGAAGAGGTTTTTTATGGGTATATAAGCAATTGCTTTTCTTCTAGCTCTTAAAGAGTTGAGAAGAAGGCAAGCCCCGCGCCGTCGTCGCTCGCTCGGCTTCGGCTACGGCTTCGGCTTCGGCTTCGGTCAAATGATCGTTTGATTGATTATTAAATATTTGCTTTAATAACAGAATATTAATATTAAATCCAATCCGTTTTTCTGTTTTAGTAGCAGAAAAGTAACTACCCTCTTCAATATTTCCTCTTTATTTTCCCTCTTTATTGTTGAGTAAATGGCCATTTATGTAATGGCATTTATGCTGTGGCCGTTTTGCATAAACAGTCATTCTGAATAGTTGCACCTCTTCAGATTTCAGCCCAACTTTGGCTATAAATACAACACTATTCTGCTCAGAATTCCACTACGATTTTCTGAGTTTTCTCTCCTTCTTCTGCATACTTTTAGCATCAAACAAAGCAACAGTAAGTGTGATTTGCTACCGAACTTTGTGTTCGCTGAAACACTGGGGTTTGAAGTACCACTACACCAGTGTGTAATTCGTTCTATCCTGGGAGGAAATAATCCATAACCTTGGGTATTAGGAGGGGATTAAATTCCTTAAGGAAACACTGTGAATTCAGTGGGCTCGAATTGGTTTTCTGTCATTTCTGTTTATGTTCATTTCTGTTTGTATTCATTTATATTTCCAGAATTATTTTACAAATACAGTATACTAACAAGCTTAAGGAATTTAATATATTTTCTGTATTTGTACTCACTGCTTCTGGAGAGTAAAACCTTTGTGGTTTTGTACTCTATTGGAGATTAAAATCTACGTTATTTTAACGTTTGTATCATTCTTTTACAGAAATGACTAATGATAATGTGAACCAAGTTGTACCAACGGTGACTGCCAATGCCTCAACGAGCCGAACAACACCGGCAGCATTGGCACCGGCGGGGAAACCTGGAAAATTTTTCGGGATTGATTTCAAGCGCTGGCAGCAAAAGATATTCTTCTATTTGACTAGTCTAAGTCTCCAGAAGTTCATCAAGGAAGATGTTCCTGTGCTGCTCGATGAAACTCCAGAAACTGAATGCTTTCTCGTGATTGAGGCGTGGAAGCATTTAGATTTTTTGTGCAAGAATTATATTCTAAGCGGGCTAGAGGATGCTTTGTATAACGTCTACAGTGGCGTGGAAACGTCAAAAGCATTGTGGACTGCGCTTGAAAAGAAATACAAAACCGAAGATGCCGGATTGAAAAAGTTTGTTGCTGCAAAGTTTTTGGACTACAAAATGGTAGATAGCAAGTGTGTTATTACCCAAGTCCAGGAATTGCAAGTGATTATTCACGATCTCCTTGCTGAAGGTATAAATCAAATTAATATTGATGTTGAAAGTAGTAATCTTAGTATTTTTACTAACAAAAATTTCATTGAAGGTCTTGTCATCAATGAAGCATTCCAAGTAGCAGCGATGATTGAGAAGTTGCCTCCTTTGTGGAAGGACTTCAAAAACTACTTGAAACACAAACGCAAGGAGATGTCCCTTGAAGATCTCATTGTTCGGTTGAGAATCGAAGAGGACAACAAAGCTGCTGAAAAGAGAGGCCGTGGGAACTCAACAATAATGGGAGCAAATATTGTTGAAGAAAACAAAAAGTGGAAGAAGGCTTCTGGACCGAAATACAACCCAAGCAAGAAGTGGTTCAGTGGAAACTGCTACAAATGTGGAAAAAACCGGACACAGAGTGTCGTGCTCCGAAGAAAGACAAGAAGAAGGGTCAAGCAAACATGGTTGAAAAGCATGATGATGTTGATGACTTATGTGCCATGCTTTCCGAATGCAACTTGGTGGGCAATCCTAAAGAGTGGTGGATTGATTCTGGGGCCACTCGCCATGTTTGTGCTGTTAGAGAAGATTTTGCTACTTATGCTCCTATTGGACCCGATGAGACGATTTCTATGGGAAATGCTTCAAAGGCGAAGATTGAAGGATGTGGGAAGATATTTCTCAAAATGACTTCCGGCAAAGTGGTGACTTTGAACAACGTCCTTCATGTTCCCGAGATTAGGAAGAATTTAGTCTCTACTGGACTTCTTGTTAAGAATGGTTTTAAATGTGTTTTTGTTTCCGATAAGGTTGTAATAAGTAAGAATGAAATGTTTGTAGGAAAAGGTTACCTCACTGAGGGCCTTTTCAAGCTGAATGTAATGGTTGTTGAAAATAATAATAAAATTTCAGCTTCGTCTTACTTACTTGAGTCAAATGAATTATGGCATATACGTTTGGGTCATGTCAATTATAAAACCTTACGGAAAATGATTAATTTGGAAGTATTGCCCAAGTTTGAATGTGACAAATCAAAATGTCAAGTATGTGTGGAATCTAAGTATGTTAAACATCCTTATAAGTCAGTTGAAAGGAATTCAAATCCTTTAGTCTTAATTCACACAGATATTTGTGATATGAAGTCAATACCATCTCGCGGTGGAAGGAAGTATTTCATAACTTTTATTAACGATAGTGCTAGATATTGCTATGTTACTTACTTAATAGTAAAGATGAAGCAATAGACGCATTCAAGCAATACAAAAATGAAGTTGAAACGCAACTTAACAAGAAAATCAAAATGATAAGAAGTGATAGGGGTGGTGAATATGAATCTCCTTTTGAACAAATATGTTTAGAATATGGAATTATTCATCAAACAACGGCCCCTTACACGCCCCAATCCAATGGGATTGCAGGAAGAAAGGATCGTTCATTAAAGGAGATGATGAACGCATTATTGATAAGTTCTGGTTTCCACAG